ATAAGCTCTGAATGTTTTAAATATTTATTTCCTGTTGATTAGATCTGTTGCTCTGATGTAAATTCTATATTTGTGTCTGTCTATCTCTTCCTTAGAAGAACAGGTGTAGATTATTATCTGCTGCATGTTATCATAAATACTGTAGACTATTTGGATGCAGAGGAAAACACCTCAGACAGTGAAGGGAACTCATTCAGGTTGGGTCTCGAGACTTTCAAAGGTAAGTTTAGTCTCATTACTTTTTCTTATATGTAGCAATAATGAAATGATTAAAAAGGATCAAATAACTGCAAACAGGGACCAGCAGACAACTTTCTATTTTATTTGTAGTTTTTCACTTTGTTCCCTTCAATTTTAACAATGACAGTTTCAGGACATTGCTAAGAAGATAAACACATGCAAACATATATAATATTTCAAATATAATTAAAAGAGGTAAAGAAAGAATGATAGAGCACAATGAAGTATTAAAACAATAAATGAGAAATTAGCAGTAATATTTAGATATTTCAGGAATGGGATCCATATAGCAAGAACATGTTTACATATTATTATTATTATTATTATTATTATTATTATTATTATTATTCTGTTGTTACCACAGTAAAAATGTCCCAATTAAGATGTTTTGCCCCTGGTCACCATTTAATATCACCTGATACCTGATCAACATTTATATTTTCATTAATAATAAAGGTTAATAAATTGCCTGCAACCAAGCTGTTATACATTTTTTAAAGGTAATCTATTAATATAAGTATATTATATATTTATTTAGACTAAATACCAAAGTAAGCAATAAAATATGGTAAGGAACCCTCTGTAGTGTTTGTTGGTTGTGTCGCTGTCTGGAGAGAATTTCTCTCTCCCTTTAAAAGTGTCCTACAGAGTTTGTTGCTTCAGTGCAGCCTTTACCTGAGTTACCTGAATGAACTGTTTTCTGCTGAGTGTTTATTTTCCTCGTCTGAACATCTTTTCCTCAGATCACATGAATAAATTACTCTTACTTGCTTTTTGTTTGTGGGGCTCTCCATTGCATCCCTAGTTCTGACCCAACATTAATCCACTGAGAGGTATTATAGTGACGTTATTGATGAAACGTCTCCCAGCAGAACAGAGTTATGTAACCACAGACATATTATAGTCAGTTAATGATATTGTAGTTGACAGGAGACAGTACAGACAGGACATGAGGACACAGAGATGTAGATGACATGCAGCAAAGGTCCCTGAAACATTTTTATTA